AATCATCTCCGCGTTCCCCTTTTTATTTTTTTATATGATAATGATAAATGATTAAATGATTAAATGAATGGAAATAAAGTGTTGTGGTTAATTTTTTGCATATTTTTTATGAATACATATGACGTAAATGTGTGTGTAAATGTATGTAATAACAGTAAAATACGTGCTTCTCATACACGTTTTAATTTTTATTCCTTATCTTTGTCGTTGTTAACTTGTTGACTTGTTTTAGCCTATCAAAAGATAAAATATTCCCAAAGAATCGATCAATCAAGAAATAAATCAATGATTGAGTGAATGAATATAATTTATGTAATGCGTGACAGTTTATTGTTGTTGACATTTTACACTCATTTTAATAGAGTTTCCAAATCCTTAAATCAAAAAACTATTAGAGATCCCAACATTTTTAGCTACTATTGCCGGTTGTTTTGCTCTTCTGTAGAGAATAAAGGCATTTGGTGGTCTTGGAGGTTTCTTTGCTTTATTACTAGCTTTATTTGCATTTGCATTATTGGCATCGTTTTTCTTTGCATTTGCAGCAGCATTAACACCACATGGTAATGCATAGGAGGGAAGCCGGACATCAGTATCAGGAAGCATTCTTGAAACATTCGGTACGGCTGACACGGGTTTTGTTGATTCTAAAAGATTAGTTACTGTTTGAGCTTTTGTATCATTTGGTACAAGGACTGGTTCGAAGCCCTCTGGAATGAAGTAGAAATGACCTTTCTTTTGTTCATACAAATCTTGAACTTTGTCATACGAAACATATTCAAAATGTGGGAATTGATTATTGCTGTTGTTGTTATTGAGAGCGTTGATATCAAGATTGCCGTTGAGATTGTTGCTGTTGGTTTTGAGATCATTTTCAATTTCATTTCCATTTTCATTTTCAACTAGATCTTTGTCGTCGGTATCATCAACTTTTATCTCGATTTCTTTATCATCGTCATTGATTTCAGTGTCATCTAGAATGATACCATCATGTTCTTCTTCATCGTCTTCTTCTTCGCAATCATCTTCTATTCCTTCAACAGCTTCTACATCTTCGTTTTCATCGTCGTCGTTACGTTTGATTTTGTTTTTATAAATGTTATAACCAAGCTCTTCATCAACATAAATTCTTTGGTCTTCTTGTTGATGAAATAAAGGAGATGGGGATAATTTAATATTTTCATATAGTTTATGTTGGTTTCTTCTTAATGCAGAAGAATAATTATCAAGATTGTTCACATTGGTCATGATAACCGTAGTCGACATTTATTTACTTTTTATTTA